CTCAACTAGCTCCTGCCTTGGATTAATAAAATAATTCATGTGGTGAGAGTTTCTGATAAACCACTGATAGCTTTTCTGGCCCAGCCCATTGCTTTTCATCCTGGACCTTTATAAGATACTCCCCTCCCTTTTTATTAGTAGAATCTGTTCCATCTCATTTAGTGGGATAAGATTTTTTTATAAAAATATCATGCTGAGATTGCTTTCTCCCTAAATGGAAAAATAATTTTAGAATTTGATAAGCCCAGTAGCCCACCAGACTCTATAGATAATGTCCCACTCTTGTTATGCTGTTCCATGCACTAAAGACCTCCCCATAGAGTCTCAGGGTTCCCTGTTGGAACAGACACCTGTCTCTTTATAAGCCACATCATCAGCAGATGTTGATATAATCCATAGTGCACCCCAAGTCAAAATATAAATTAAGCTAACAAACCAAGTTGCCTAGTATAAAACAATATCCCTTGAACTAAACAACCTTATAAGGCATAAGGCTCATTAACTGTCTTACAAGGTACAGGCCCATTATCAAATAATAATTCCTTATACCAGCCCCTGTAACACTCCTATCTTCCTAGTAAGAAAACCTAATGGTTGAGGATGGAGATTTGTCCAGGATTTCTGTGCCATAAATAATGTTGTTATACCCCATCGCCTATGGTTCTAAATTCACATACTTGCTGGGCTTGTAAACTATCTGCATTCAATAGACAGAAAGATATTTTTACTATTATATTATTAATTATAAAAATGAATTTTTTTTGTTTCTGTGTCTGCTTTCTCCATTTTCCGGTGAGCTGTACAAATGATCTCAGAATCTTAACACCTTATTAATTTCTACTATTAGTCATGCAGTAAATTTGTTTAATAAATAGATGGATTTAGTAATCACTTATTAAGCTTTCATGTACCAGGTACTTCAGTGATACAAGAATAACTGTGTGAAGGCCTGTGCCCTCAATGAATCAAAGAACTCAAAGTTGTGGGGAGCAGAGTTGCAAACAATTACCAATATGAAGTGATCAATGCTACTGATGCTACTGCAGCATTGGAAGACAAAATGACATCTCACTCTGCTTGGGGAAACTGCATAGAGATAGCAAAGTTAGAGATGATTCTTGAAGGATATGTAGATTACTTTGGGGGGTGTTAAAGAAACAGTCATTCAGGGATAATTGGTAAAGCACAGAAAAGCAGATTGTGTTCAAAACCTTTGCCATAGGTATAGGGATTATGGCAACAGGGTCTTGGAATGGGGGAGAGAGACTTGGTTCAACTCCAAATAAAGCATGTGCAAGCAGAAACTTATAGCAAAGAGCAAGATAGGGGTCAGTGGATAGAAACTTAATAAGAGGAAACATGGAGGGTTGGAGGGATTCCAGTTAAACCAACTGAGCAGAATTCTTGCTGAATAAGGCCAAGGTGGAGGATGAGGAACCCAATCAGATATTGATGGTGGGGAAATTCTAGCCAAAGGGACTTCACAGTGACAAGGAAGTACACAGATGGGCCTAGGACAAAGTTTGGGAGCCTGATTAAAAGTTTGGCCAAGCAAAGAATCTTTGTCAGTGGCATAAATAGGAAAAGGCATTTTAGGGAAAGCATTCTGCTTGAGCAAAGCTTTGGCAGTGACAAAGTAGATGACTGGTTTCCAAAAACCCTAGTTTAGGAGTTGAGACAATAAGTGAAAAACAAAACAAAACAGGAGTATCTGCAGAAAGAGAAGTAGCAGACAAGGAAGCTTATTCAAAAAGTGTCTATAGGCCAGGTGCCATGGCTCATGCCTGTAATCCCAGCTCCTTGGAAAGCAGAGGCAAGAAGATCACCTAAGCCCAAGCTCATGACAGCATTAAGGTGACAGAATGAGACTCTGTCTCAAACAAAAATGTCTATGAGGCACATCAAAAGGATGAAGAAGCCAACTCTAATATGTGTCACTAGCCTAATGGGATAATTTAAGCATAATAATGACCATGATGGATGAAATCACCAGATGTGTAAAAATGCATGCATTCATAAAAATACTAAAAAGATAAAAATAATTTCATGGTTAACCCTGAAGTTTGCTAGGGCACCAACGTGTTTCTCTGAAATTTGGTAACTGGAAAAAAATCCAGCCTTTATCTGATCTTTTCTCTATGATGTATATTTCTGGATAACCAATGAGTTGGTTTTAAAAAGTTCTTTTTATAGATGACTTCCAAGTAATAAATGGAAAATTATAGAAACTATTAAAAATTCACAGGTCCACTTTAAAAGATGTAAGAGACATACCAAAGGGCAATCTGAGGACTTGCTTTGGATCTTGACTGGAACAAACCAACTACCAATGACATCTTGAACTCAACCAGGAAAATCTGAATATATACACTAAATATAAGATGATATGAATTGTTGTTCATTTTGTCTGATATGACAATGGTGGTTAAAGTTTTAAAATCTGTATCAGTTTCAGATGCAGGTTAATTTAAGGGTAAAATAATATACTAGGATTTCTTTAAAAAGGAGGGGACAGGAAGCTAGAGTGGCAAAATGTTGATAAATGTTGATTCTGAGTGACAAGTACTGAGGGTTCATTTTTAAAAGTAAAATCACTTTTGCCTATGTCTAAAATTTTCCATTATAGCTGTAAAAAACAGATCCAGGGCCTCTTAACCAGGTCATTGTAAGTTGATCTAACATTAAGGTGACCAGACATCCCGTTTTTGGCGGGACAGTCCCAATTTTTAATACTTTGTCCCTAGTCCCTCCGTGTTTTAAAAAAGTCCTGATTTTTGGAAAGATGCACGACAAGCTAGGGAACAATGGGAGAATGGGTGCTGAAAAGGTTAATGTAACTCCATTTGGGAATGAAGAGGTTAATGTAACTTCATTTGGAAATGAAAAGGGTAATGTAAACTCCCTACTCCCTGGGCAAGGTCACCCAGGTGGAATGGGTATCCGAAGGAGACTGGCTCCCTCCCTCCCTCCCTCCCTGAGCAAGGACAATTAGCTCAGAAGGAGCCAAACTGTCTGGAACAAGTAGGCCCCCCCCCTTCCCCAGAGGGTCCCTAACCATAAGTAGCTCAGCCAATAGCAGCCCGCCCGACAAAACACCCAATGAAATTCCTCTATGTGCTTTAAAAACCTCAGCTGGCTTCACTAGGGAGTTGCCCTTCCTCCAGCCAAGCTGAAGGGAAGAGTGGCCCAGGCATATGCTTGCAAATAAAGCACTTTTTGTCTTTACATGTGTGTGGTGGTTTCTCAGTGGCAATTCTGGTCCCAACACTGCCATATGGCTATTTCGCCAGGATATGAGTTTTATATTATTTTTGTTAATTTTATAATGTTAAACTTTAATAATAACAAATAATTGTTGAGAACTGATTATGGAGAAATGCTTATCATTAAAGTTCGCATTGTTGATCAGTTGTTAGAATTCAACCACCATTGTTTGGACTTAATGAACAATGGCATTTTTTGGCATTGGGAAGGACAAAAACATTTTGTAACTGTCTCTCAGACGATACACATTGTACTGTGTGCTAGTGCTAGTTAAACAAGTGATGTCGACAAATCAGCTATTCAGATAATTTAGGTAAGTAATTTATTTATTTCATGAATTTAGCAGACAGTACTCATATTATTTATATTTTATAGTGGCAGCAAAAAGTCTAGTGCCAGCCTTGAAAGTCACACTTATGACTTACAAGGTATCATTATTAAAAAAATACATTGATAAGGAAAAGGTTAACTCTTGGGCATCAGCAAAAATCACAATAGAGAATGAATGTTTAGAAATATTTCATCATTTTGAAACAAACCATGTTCCATACAATAATGCACTAAAAATTGTGGGATACACGTTGTCCTTACCAGGAACTAATGCTGCGACTGAACCCATTTTTTATATGGTAAGTAAAGTGTGGACATCAGAACAATCACAATTAAGTGTTGAAACTTTGAAAGCCATCTTATGTGTGAAATATAATTTAACAAATTCTTGTGAAAAATTTCATGACCTTTTAAACAATGACAGCAATTTACTAAAAAAATTCACTCAAATGAGAAATATGCCAAAGAATAAAATAATACTATACATATTTTATTTATTTATTTTTTGGCCAGGGCTGGGTTTGAACCTGCCACCTTCAGCATATGGGGTCAGCGCCCTACTCCTGTGAGCCACCGGCACCGCCCTGTACATAATTTTTAAAAATGTATCATATTTGTAAATTGTACTTATGTTGAAATTAAAAATATATATATTACAATACTATTTTTGCATTCTATGAACATTTTTGTTGCTCCATATAGACCAAATTTTTAATTAAGAACGTCCCCCCCCCCCACTTTACTAATGTTAAAATCTGGTCACCTTATGCAAGGCCCAACATTTAGGAGCTTGGATTTCTCAGGTCTCAGGATGAGGCCCAAGGAAAGGGGCTGTCGGGGGAAGTGGAGGGTGGTGGCAAAAGAAAAAAAAAGCACCCAACTATTTAAAAAGATTCTGAGATTTCCCAGGGATTTCCGAAAGGAGCTACAAGGTGTGCATGGCAAATCCACATAGCTGTTTCCCCAGCCTCCAGCATGACTGTTTGTGGGAGGCTGAAAGGTCACAGCCGGCTTCCGAAGCACAGTGAGAAGCGAGCTGTGAATTCCTGACTCCGGTCGCTGGCCTCACGCCTGCCTTTCCTTTTCTCCTTTCACTTCTCTTCCCTCTCCGCCAACCCACTCTCCACCTTGGCTCCTTAGGGGTTCCTCGTTCCACCCCTCTCGCATCCGCGTCCAGTCCCT